TATTTTTTTACCTTTCTAATTTATTGTAAGAACAAATTTACTAGGGTTTTTCAAGCTGACCAATCTAATACCACGTATACAGGTACCATGTGCATGGCCATCAACATCACACCCATCAAGAATTACCACTAGAATGCTCTATGAAACTTATTTTTTGAAAAGTAGGTTTTAATTAGTATGGAAATGATTTTGAGAAAAATAGATAAAAAATATTAATTTTGTCATTAAATTCATCTGCAGTTGTTTGCAGCTGTTTGTACCTTTGATAAAAGTTGGTACTAAGTGCAAGTAACATTGTTTCTTTTAACACCATTCTGAATTTGTGCTGTGAATTGTATTTATTGGTCTTAGAGTATGCATTTGAATTTTTTGGCCTTCTAATTTCTGTTATCCTAATAATGACTGCAGCTCACAACATCATCAATCATGTAAGTAAATTATGAGCGCATGTCACAATCATGTGAGATAAGGGTAAGAATGTACCTCAAGTCCAAGGGCTATTATGTGAGGCCCGCTTTTGAAATAATTTTCAGCTTCTTGTGCATCATTGTAAACTTCTGGAAGTGGCTTTGTCCACATTTTAGAGATATATTAATAATATTATATATATATATATATATATATATATATATATATATATATATATATATATATATATATATATATACCTAAGGTTTTAAGGTCAACCATGATGAGATCTGTGCAAAAACATTTTGTATAGCAGATGGATTATTGTTAACATAAATGGAAAAAATGGTGTAAAATGGAAACAATTTGAAGAAAGTGGTGCCAATGAAGAACCTGAACAACTCCTAGTGAACTTTCAATAATCAAAAGAAAAAAAAAACTAAAGAAAGTATATAATAATAATCACAATGTGAAAATGTTGTATGTTAAGTGCACTATGAAAAGGTTACAAAAGGCTATAAACACGAATAACAAAGAAAACCTTAATAAACAATAAAAGTATTTTACTTTGAATATGTTGAACCAATCTAAAAACTGATAAGTTTGCATTTGAAATTTCAAACATAACTGATATTTCTTCCATCTAGATCCTACACAGTAAAGGAAATCGTATTGGCTCATCAATGTCACTTCATAATAACAACACAAGTAAATGAAAATGTTCCCAAATACAAAATAACTGATCTATTGTAAATCAAAAGAAGAAAGAGGAAATAAATCAACAAACTCACTACAACAGTGGCAATGGAGAGCAACTATGATTCAGGTAGTGGATTTGCTTGAAAGAAAACAAAATGAAGAAAAGGTGAGTCTAAAGAATCCAAAACATGAGAAAGAACAATGAAATTTGTACATATGAAAAATCAAAATTAATTGAGAATACAAAAATCAAGAATCCTACCTAGTTTAAACAACGATGTTCAACCAATGTTCTCTTCCTCATCTTCGTTATATGGTTGATAAATGGTAAATGAATGATGAAATGAGGGATTTAGAAACAAAAGTAGAGAAAGTATTTAGAAGTTACCCCATGTGATTTATGTCCGGGGATCCAAAATTGCAATTGTTGATAGGCGGCTTGTAAATTGTTACCATAGAATTAGAGTTTAAAAGAGAAAAATAGAGGAGAAAGATGGGACGATTAATGTTTTTAGCCAAATGGAGAAACTGATTTGGTTTCGATAAATAATATAATGGTTGAATTTAAAGATTTTGTAATTAGCTGCAATTGTGTTTGACTAAAATATTGGTCAAGAATGATGTCAACAAACAGATCTAAAGGTGGAAAACAAATCATTGGAATACAATCAAGGGTCATGATTGTTTCATTGGTGAATGAAATGTTCACTTTTAATATTTCCTCCGTCCCATATTAATAGTCCATATTTTTTTTGTTCCAAAATAATAGCCTACTTCAAAAATAAATATCTTTTTAAATACCCCTAATTATTAGTTAAACTACCATAGAATTAAATGCAACTACAAAGGAATTAAATGCAACAAAAGGATAAGACTATCATTTTATTTAATAAAGTTAGTAGTAACTAATGTTTCTTAAGAGTAAATTACACAAATGGTCCTTAAGGTTTGAGGTAATTTACGCGCTTGGTCCTTAACTTATTTTTTAACTCGGAAAGTCCCTACTATTTGTTTTTATTAAACGTTTTGTTTTTGTTACACATTTGATCTCTATCTCACCTAAAAAAACTATTATTTAAATAGAAAAAATGGTGAGGTATGTAAGGTAAGGTGAAGAGGTGGAGTTGGAAGTGTGTTTATTTAAATAAATTAAAAACTTAAGGGCAAAATAATCTTTTTAAGTAAGACAGGGACCAAGTGCGTAAAAAAACAAACAGTAGGAACCTTCCGAGTTAAAAAAATAAATTAGGGACCAAACACGCAAATTATCCTAAACCATAGAAACATTCGAGTAATTTATTCTTTTCTTAATCAGTTAATCAATATATTTTTTGTCAAGTGGACAATAATTTTGAAACGTTGGGAGTAATTTTTAAATATTGTAACTAACTCTAGTTCGTTACTTAAAAGGGCTTCATCACCATGGGCCTGAAATCTGCTTGGAGTGGCCCTTACACAACAACAAAGAACAAGGAAAAAAACCTCTACCATAAACTGCACTCCATACATGATAGTATGATACATCACATCACCCAACAAGCAAAAAACAGGGAAAGGGAATCACTTTTATTTCTCATTTCTGCATTCCTTATGTTATACAAACAAGAGAAATAGAATAAATTCCATTTCTTTCCTTTCATCCATACTCCTCTATTACATTGTCGTTCCTTCAAACTAACAAAAAATTCCACATCTTTTATATGTGGTTTCACTTTTACAGTTTACTTTGAACATTTCTAACATAAATTGGCCTATAAATAATAAATATTTTCAAAAATCTTTCGCCATAAGAAGCTCAAAAGAACATTATCATTATGACGATAATCTGCCCACCAGAATGCCACCAAACACAATAGCTCCAAACCACTTGTTTGACACAAATCTACAACCCAAATCACACATCCAAAATAAGCATCATATGCATGACAAAATAGCAACATAATTGACTCTTTTTACGCATAACAACAACATACTTATATTCTTTTTATCCATTAAAGACTTCAGTTATTATACCCATTATGTAAAACGACTTACTTTTTTTCAGGCTATATATTAGTCATTATCACTAGTAAAAAAATGACTTACTTTCTACTGCAATCGGCTCCAGATGATGTGTCTACTGTCCAAATTTGCCATGCTAACTGGCCTGATGCCCCTGTCAAAAACACATAATATGGCCATCCTGTTTCACCCACTTCATATCAGTACATTATTATGCCATCAAACTTCAAACACATTATATATATTTTTATAAAGATTCCAAGTTTAGAAAACCGATTTACTCATACCAATAAAAAAGTAAAAGTATTACCAAGATTTGCATTGAAGCCACTGAGTGCAAGGCTACAAATGCAAGCAGCTCCAAATCCAGTTACCCATTTCTTTGTGGAATCCCCAAATCTCAAGGCTGTAGACTTAACTCCCACTAACTTATCATCTTCTTTATCCTGTATATGTATATGTGTGTAATCAACATGAATGAACAATCTAGCCTATATAGTTAGTTAACTACTTAAAAATTTCTTTTACCTGATGGGCGTATATTGTATCGTAGACAAGTGTCCAAAATACACCAGAAAGATACAGAGGCAAAACAACAGCAGGATCTAGGCTTCCTCTAATGGCAGACCATCCTAGTAAGGCTCCCCAATTAAAAGTTAAACCAAGATATGCTTGAGGCTGCAAACAAACATAGATGTTGATGTGTATCCTATTCCCACCAAAAAGATAAAACGGATTTGATTTTTTACCCACCCAAAATGTAATCCTTTTCATAAGGGGATACGAAAAGACAAGTAGCAATGATGAAGCACCCAATATGCGGCTGTATAACAAACAAAACAGAGTAGTAATCATCAAACTTTCTTGTATGGAAAATTATGCATATACTATACAGACCTACCTATAGTTGTTAAGCTGGAGAAGGATACCAAGACCCAAAAGCAATTGAAAACCAAGAAAAGAAACCCCTTGAAATGGTGTTAATGCACCACTTGCAATTGGCCTTGACTTTGTTCGTTCCACCTGCATCAATAAGCTAATCGATTCATTATTATACATATAATGATATAATGATATGATCAGAACATTCTAAATTAACTTTTTTCACCAGAGACAAATAATATAAGTTTTTATGTTTATAGACCTTTGTATCAATATCTCGGTCAAGCAGATCATTGATAGTGCATCCAGCACCCCTTAATAGAAAAGCTCCACAACCAAATAGTGTCAACATCTTTATATCAGGAAGGTTTCCAGGGGAGGCTGCTAATGTGATTGACCTACATTAGGGTACATACAAGTTTCTGATATCATCAGCCATTCCAAGAAAGAACCAACTTTCTGTTTTATAGTTGCAATTTTAAGCAAAATTGATCATCCTCCATTTTCAAAACTAAGAATATTGTTTATAAAGAAAGTCAAAAGTACAAATCTTACCACATACATGGCCATGCTAGTAACCAAGTCCCAATAGGCTTATCCAGCCGAGCAAGATGTGCATAGGGCCGAATCTTTTCAGGCAAATACAAATCAATCCAAGATACAGAAGAAGAAGAAGAAGAAGAAACCTTGTTGTTCTTCAACTCCTCATCACGTTTTGCCTTTTCTTCTTCATCCCTTAAACTATGGGAAGACGTGGAAATGCCACAACTCCGGCCTAATCTAATCAAATCAAAGTATTTAAACTTGGAGTTATCAAAATTAGGAATGTAAAATTCGTGATTTTGTCTGTGGTCAGAGTAATAGTGGTTTAAACTAGGTTTTGGAGGTGGGGGATTTGTTGGATGAGGGGAAATGGATTGAGAGAGTGTGAGGGAGATATGCTGATGCAAGGGTTGAAGATAACGAGAAGATCGAGAGAAACGGAGTAATAACGCCATCTTTAGCTAGGGTTATAGAAAGACAAGAGCTTGGGAAATTGATTTTCGCATTGAACTTTCTTTAATGTATAAAGTTCCTAGGAATTCTTCAGGGTCTGAATTATTCATACATATGAATGGCACACAGCTGAAAAATCCGCATCTGAATAAAAACATACTGTTTTGTTAGACGTCTGAATAGTTGTGCTTAATAATCCATATAATGTATAATTTGCACAAATCTAGCGTATAAAAGTAAAATAGTTACAATTTTGGATAAAAATTATTGAAATAATGTATACAATCAGATCTGTTCTTGAACATGTAAATGAAAAAATATCGCTACTCTAAAGAAAAACACACAACAACTGGAAGTTGATCGATTCCTTGCAAATCCATGTTGCTTGGGTGGTTTCTAAACAGCCTGCACATAGAGCATGTCCTCATAATGATAAAAATGCACATAATATACATGAATTCTGATCATTGCTAGTATGATATTTAACTATCTTGCAAATAAATTAAGATATTTTTGCTTTGAAATACATATATCCAAATCAGTGACTGTGAAACTCTAATTTCATTCTGAAATGGAGTCAAACATAGGTATGTTACTAGAAAAGAAACAAATATAGTGTAAAGACATCCAACATTCAATAGTATACCCAATCCAGACAGGGGATCATCCAATTCAAACTTCATAACTTTTCAGCAAAATCAACAATTTCATCAATCAAATGTGGAGGATAATTTTAGAAATTTTGCATCAGAACATAATTCGACTCAAGAACAAAAAAATTCAGCAAAACCAGCACAGATTCCTTGACATCAGACATAATTCCATCAAATAATTTCAGCAAAAAAAAAAAAAAAGAAGCCCGATTTCAGCGTATTTGGGGGAGAGAAAAAAAAAAGGAAAACTGAAGAACGGTATATACCTGGAGCGACATCTGCTGTGCGACGGTGGCGCCGGAGGTATCGGAGGGTAGCGACGGAGATGCGAAGGTGTAGGAGGGTGGCGCCGGAAATGCGAAGCTGGAGAGCTGTGGAGGAGTGGAGCGTCGGAGGGTTGAGAGAGAAGAGGCGTCGATTGTTTCTACTTATTAAGATGGTGTATAACCAAACGCTCTAATACAGATTCGGTGCTACCTCTAACAAAGTGATCGAAAAGTTTTCAATATGATCGACAAGTTTTGTGAGTCTTATCATATGTTTTCATGGTTAAGTAGTGTTAAGTCCCAGAGGTGGTTAATATTTGGTCAATCTTTGACTAATGAAGAGGAAGGATTAGGGTCTTTTACACTGTTGGTTCGTTACGTTCGAATTTGGGCCGGTATGAGTTGAAAGTATTGTTGGCTCATATGTGGGAGATGCTGATAGATAATAAGAATACTGATGCGGGAATTGAGTTGGATCATAAGTTGCATTTGGTTTGGTGGTGCATGGGTGTTGGGTCATGAGATATGGGACTAGGTTGGAAACTGGGTTGGTCCCTATAGAAATAGGGTCGGCCCGAGATCAGAGGTATATATTTTTAACTGATAAAAAATTGGACCCATTTTTTTAACAACCAATTAGAAATAAGTTTTATAAAAATCTAAAACCGTTTTATTTCGGATTTTGTAAAAAAAAAAACCCGAACAAAAGCGGTTATTAAACAGAAAAATCAATTTTTTTTAATGGGATTTCATTTTCAAAAAAATCAAACCAATTATAACCAAAACCGGTAGAAAAAAAAAAAAAACGGTTTGAAACATACTCAAGGATTGTTTTTTCTACGGGTGTTAAACACACATAAAAATTGGGGCAAAGAGTAACTAATTAAAGTCAAAACCATTTTTATGTCTTTTAAACCCAAATTTACAAGACTTTAAGACTTTTATGTATTTTTTATATTTTTTTAATTAACTTCGTAATCTCATATTTTACGACTTTTTTTTTATATCTTTTATTTTATAATATATTATCAAAGATTTTAACATTTTTACCCTTTATGGTTAAAATATTTTTTCAATTTATACTCTTCTTTATTTTAAAAAAATTACTTTCAATCCTTATTAATATATTGATATTTCAATATTTTCACACACATATACACACGAATGTAAATATTTTCGGTTTATATCCTTCTCTATTTTAAAAGATAATAACACTTCCCAGACAAAACTAATAAATATATTTATATTTATGGTCCTTTAAATTACACTACATTTATAATAAATACTTTATTTTTATTTTAGTGTGATATAAATGAATACCACTACAATCAAATCAAAATAATATAACTATATTTACATTTATGATCCTTTAACTTAACCTATAATTTATATAGTATTCTTTTTCATACCTAAAGTTTTACTATAAATGAATGTATCTCAAACTTCATTTTCATTGTACGATAGTCTGAAAAACGATAGGCTATGTAAAAGAAAATGAGTTGGTCAGAATATTTGTCACCGTTTGATAAGTTAAATTACGAGGTATGTTTCTTTATTATTATTCATATATTTATGTTTTTATATATCACATATTTATATTTGTATGTATTGATTAGGATAATGATATATACACAAACAATGTATCTCAAGATGACAATAATAAAAATAATTACTTATCAGTGACATATCAAAATTTGAAACTAGCATGGTATAAACTTTTATTCAATAAGTTTACGTGTATCTAATCAAAAAAATATTTTTTAATTGAATCTGAAGCTGAGGAAGCATACAATTCTAATCTCTTACAAGTCCGAAAACATTTTGGTGGACTATAAAGGTATTTATTTAACATATCTTTTAGATTTGTTAGTTTATATATATATATATATATATATATATATATATATATATATATATATATATATATATATATATATATATATTCAAAATTGATGTAAGTGTATTATGCTATTACTTACTTGAAGAAAATGTGGCTGTCACAATATAAAGAAAAGTTTGTATCTGTTTGGACCGACGTCTTTCTCAATTTTGGGAATTACACAATCAATAGAGCGGAGAGTCAGCATGCCAAAGTAAAATTATACTTGGACTCATCACAACCAGATTTAGCGATAATATTACCAAGAATTGATGATGTTGTTCAGTCACAAGACTATGCTATCAAAGCAAGTTTAGGACAGATCATGATTATTCATTTCGTCCATCCAATTTCCAGATATTTGGTTGGTAATGTTTCAATTTATGCACTTGAAATAATTTTCAAGGAATTTGAACAAATCAAATTCCTTGAAATTTGTGGATGTCAACTGCGTACTAGTCACGGACTACCATGTACGCACGAACAAGCAGTATATTTAAAAAATGAAAATCCAATACCACTTGATTCCATTCATAACTTTTGGAAATTTAATTTAGATCCATGCATCCGACTTGAAGATGATGATGTTGATGTTGAAGGTCAAACGTCTAACACACAGCTGAAAAAACAATCAAGATCTAGTAAGTTCGATTGGGTGCGGAGGTTAAAAGATATATTTTCACCATCAACAACTTCGCTTCGGGAACCCACTTCTCACAAAAAAAAAGGTACCAAGTGGACGTCCACGGTTGAGTACACATACAAGACCTACTTTTCCACCTACTCAAGATCCAACGATTCAATATCCTCGTGGACATAGTTTTGCGACGTCTAAGTCAGATTATAATGGGTCTAATCAGTTTGATTTAAACCAGGAACCAGAGAGGCACAATACATTTTCATTTCAACAACCTTCAACATTTTATTCAAATTCACTTATGAGTGAAATTCCAAATGAAATTCATCAATACGTTACAAACATTGAAGATGCGGAGGGAGATGGAAATTGTGGATTTCAGGCAATAGTTGTCTCCCTCGGGTATGGTCAAAATTATTGGAGTAAAATCCGTTCAGAATTACACAACGTGTTATTAGAAAATTAGGGCCGATGTGCAATGATTTTTCAGGATGATATAAATAACGTACATCACTCGTTGAGTTTCATTGGATTGAGTTCAACACAAAGTGAATATTGGTTGATTATGTCGGATACTGGATTCCTCATTGCTAATAAGTATGGTGTAATCGTCTATTTTTTACACAAACAAGGTTCGTCGACATGTTTTCCGCTTTGGCATGGCCCGAAATACATCTCACATCATAGATCTATTGTTATCACATTCGTTTATAATTGTCATTACGTAAAGGTTGATTAACAAAATAACATCCAATGCCTACAATTTCGTCATTTTGGCGTTACCACAGATCAAAACGTATCACTGGATGGGAATATTATATAATGTTCGACTTAATGCATATATTCCACCGCATGCACCACGTAATAATTATAATATACATGTAGTTGATGTCCCTAATAATTAATAAAATTAAAATATGATAGTGTTTGACAAAACGATGGTAATTGAAAATGATAATTTTATTTGTTATAGTTGTGAAAAAAAATATCATATTATATTTTTTATTATTCGTTTAATTGTTTGTGATCGTTATTTTTTATTGTTCGAAATGTAAACAAACTCGAATTTAAACCAAAAAGTTTATAATTAATTTGAAAAAGTAAAAAAAATTATATGAAATCTATACAAACTCTATTAAAATAAAGAACAAATAAAATAGTTATATAATAATAATAATAAAATTTTAAAAGAAAAATGTAACACCGTAAATTTCAAAACAAAATTTTCAATGTTTATAAAACATAATTCACATAATATTCATAAAACAACCATGTTTGAAATTCAATCCAAGTAATACAAAAATCCCAAGATCTCAAAATCATAAAATCCCATGCGTGTGTATTGATCAAAGCTGACGCCTTCCCACGGTCATCACTAGTACCTGAAACAAATAACACCAAACACTGTAAGCACAAAGCTTAGTGAGTTCCCCAAAATACCACATACAACACATATTAGCCACTCGAGGCTATAACTCTATGGGTCCGTGCATCCAAACTCTGTGAACCCTCAGGTTCTAACTCTGTAATCATGCACAACATAAATCACAAAGAATAATGCAGCGCAACACATAACACATATATAGCATACAAACACTGTATCACAAAACTCTAGTTACCTACTCAAGGTAAAGTATAGTGAGAAGACTCACCTCGTGTATCTCGATAGCTCGCAAATCCCTGAACCCACTCGAACTCGATCCCCCGAGCTATAACACTCCTATAATACAATACATCTCTAATTAACATTTTCACAACTAAGGTTGACTAACCCCACTAAGTCAACACAGGTCAACTCTGGTCAACGGTCAACTTTGACCGGACTCGGCGAGTACATAAGAGCGACTCGGCGAGTCTACACATGTTCGCTAACTCCCTCGGATTCTCTCTTGGCACGTCGAGTACTCCTCTAACTCGACGAGTTCCACCTGGCATGAATCGAGGGGCCACCGCGACTCAACTTGCCGAGTCTCAAAACAACTCGGCGAGTTCCAGTTTGACTCATTCCACCTGTCAACCCTCTCTGACTCTCCCTGACTCACTGAGTTAGCCCCTTAACTCGGCAAGACCACTCGCTGATTGGTTATGGACAATCTTCATGCTACTCGCCGAGTCTGTTCTTCGGACTCGGCGAGTCTACGCCATGCATGAGCTCAAACTCACTCCTGAGGTCAGATCCATTCCAATAACTCCTAGATCCAGTCCTTACAAGCACATTCATCACGTAAAGTCACAATCTTGGTGCTCATGCAAAGGTCCAAAGGCCTTATTTACTGATATGATCTCTAGAATGCTATTCTAAGCTCATGGCCTCCATTAACACACATAAAGCTTGAGGGAAAAGGCTCTCTAGACCTCTTTGGGTCCAGATCTAAAGTAGTAACACAAGAAGAGGCCAAATACTCCATGGATCTCTTCCACAAAGAAACCCTAACTTTAAGATTCACAACAAGGACTGAGAAAGGAACGAATGGATACCTCAAATGAAGTCCCTGAGCTTAGAAATCACTGGATTAGCACCTTCTTTGGTCTCCTCTTGCCTTGATCCTCTTCTATATGCAAAAATACCCACAAATAGTCAAGGTTCTTCCTCTTCTCTCTCACAAAGTGCTCACTGGTTCTTTAGGGTTCTCTCTGGGGTTGGTGGCCGCAAATGACGACCATAAACCCCCTTAAATATGTCTCATACCCCGGAAATTAGGGTTTCATTAAACAGCGTGGACTCACCGAGTCCACTCCTTGGACTCGCCGAGTCCAGACGCGAACCCGCGCCCAAAATCGCGATCTTACTCGGCGAGTTTGAGCTCCAACTCGCCGAGTCCACTCACAATTCTCCAAAAATACAAATAATAATAAATACCTGGAAATCCGGGCTGTTACAAAAAAAAAAAAGAATAAGTTAATGTTTTTATATGAAACAAGTACTAAAAGGGTAATATTCATAAACTATAAGGATACAACTTATTATATTTTAAATTAGGGAACAAAGATGAAAATAAAACCA